TCTTAGTGTAATTTTATGTATTAGTATCTATTTAGTTATGTTTTTCTGTTGTGGTGCATAACATGGCCACAAGATGGCATTAGGCAGGATATATCACACTTGTATTATATAGGTATATGATGCAATATATCAACCATATGGTGGCAGAGTGTATATGGTATGCATTAACATGAAAAGAGGGAGGCAGGAGATGTATTGTAATTTAATCTTGCAATTGATTAGCCACTCGGGAATGAAGGACAGCATACAAGTAAGATCTAGGGCAGGGGTGGGCAAACTTTTTGACTTGAGGGCCGCAATGGGTTCATATATTGGACCCGGGGGCCGGACCAAGAGTAGATGAATGATGTGTATGTGTCATCCATAGTAAGTATAGTAATATTCCCCCATAGTAGTAATTCATTCCCCATAGTAATTAATCCCCCATATAGTAATTCATCCCCCCTATAGTAATTCATCCCCCCTATAGTAATTCATCCCCCCTATAGTAATTCATCCCCCCTATAGTAAATTCATCCCCTATATAGTAATTCATCCCCCATATAGTAATTCATCCCCCATATAGTAATTCATCCCCCATATTAATTCATCCCCCATATTAAGTCCCCAAGTCCCCCCTGTGTCAATTCACTTACCTTTGCTCCGCGCGTTCCTCTCGCCGTGTTCCCGCGCCGTTCCGGTGTAGCATGAAAATCTGTCTCCTATGAGGATCTGTCCCCCTCGACGTATCTGCGCATGTGCCAGTTTCAGGCATTAGCAGCCGATCGACGATCTCCGGCACATGCGCAGGTACGTCGAGGGGGACAGATCCTCATAGGAGACAGATTTTCATGCTACACCGGTCTTCACGGCGGACTGTGAGGGGAGCCTAGCTCCGCGGGCCGGATTAAAAGGTCCGCCGGGCCATATACGGCCGCGGGCCGTAGTTTGCCCATTGCTGATCTAGGGGGTGGACTTCATACCCTGATGACATAACTGACGAAGCGCCGATCACTTTGCCGCTGCAGAGCGTGCTGACATTTTTTTGGTTGATTTGTTTGCTGTGTACCTTGTATATACAGTGCCTTGAAAACATATTTATACCCCTTGAAATTTTAAACCTTTTGTCATGTTACAACCAAAAACGTAAATACATTTTATTAAGATTTTATGTGATAGACTAACACAAAGTGGAACAAAATTGTGAAGTGGAAGGAAAATCATAAAGTGGTTTTAAAAAATTTTTTTACAAACATCTGAAAAGTGTGGCGTGCAATTGTACTTGGGCCCCCTTTACTTACTAACTAAAATCCAGTGGAACCAATAGCCTTCAGAGTCACCTGTGTGTAATTTAATCTCATTTTAAATACAGCTGTTCTGTGAAGCCTTCAGAGGTTTGTTAGAGAACATTAATGACCAATGGCATCATGAAGGCCAAGGAACACACAAAATAGATCAGGGATAAAGTTGTGTAGATGTTTAAGGCAGGGTTAGGTTATAAAAAAATATCCCAAGCTTTGAAAATCTCACGGAGCACTGTTCAATCCATCATCCAAAACTGGAACAAGTATAGTACAACTGCAAACCTACCAAGACATGTCCATCCACCTAAACTGACAGGCTGGGCAAGGAGAGCATTAATCCGAGAAACAGCCAAGAGGCCCGTGGTAACTCTGTAGGAGCTGCAGAGATCCACATCTCAGGTGGGAGAATCTGTCCACAGGACAGCTATTAATCCACAGATCTGGCTTTTATGGAAGAGTGGCAAGAAGAAAGCCATTGTTGAAAGAAAGCCATAAGAAGTCCCATTTTTTGCAGTTTGCTAGAAGCCATGTGGGGGACACAGCAAATATATTGAAGAAGATGCTCTGGTCAGATGAGACCAAAAATTGAGCAAAACGCTATATGTGGCGGAAACCTATACCTGCACATCACCCTGAACATACCATCCCCACCGTGAAACATGGTGGTGGCAGCATCAGGTTGGGGGGATGCTTTTCTTCAGCAGGGACAGGGAAGCTGGTCAGAGTTGATGGGGAATATGGATGGAGCCAAATACAGGGCAATCTTTAGAGAAAACCTGTTAGTCTGCAAAAGACTTGAGACTGGGGCAGAGGTTCACCTTCCAGCAGGACAGCAACCCTAAACATACAGCCAGAGCTACAATGGAAAGGTTTAGAACAAAATGTGTTTAGACGTAAATCCAATTGAGAATCTGTGAGCAGACTTGAAAAATTGTTGTTCAGACGCATCCAATTTGACAGCTCAAGCTATTTTTGTAAAGAAGAATGGGCAAAAATGTCACTCTCCTAGATATGCAAAGCTGGTAGAGACAACCCAAAAGGACTTGCAGCTTTAATTACAACGTAAGGTGGATACTTGTAAAAAATTTTGAAAACCATTGTTCATTTTCCTTCCACTACACAATTTTATGCCACTTTGTGTTGGTCCATCACATAGAATCCCAATAAAATACATTTAAGTTTTTGGTTGTAACATGACAAAATGTGGAAAATTTCAAGCGGTATGAATACTTTTTCAAGGCACTTTGCCTAGCTGAACTGTTTTAAGTTTTTTAAATAAACCAAATGGTAATACACTATTGTGAGCCCCTTTCTTTTATTATGATGTTGTTTTGGATGACCTCACTTACAAAAAGATATTAAGACAAAACAAGTCCAGAGTTGGGTAACAAAAATGGTGCAAGGTCTGAGATGAAACATATCAGGAGTGACTTCATGAACTTAATATGTACAGTTTGAAGGTAAACAAGGTAAGGGGAGACATGATTGAAACCTTTTAAATACATCAGGGGGTGAAAAAGGTTCAAGAGGGCAGGATTTTCAGTATGAAACCAAGATCACGAACATGGGGACATGACCTCAAACTAGCAGGAGGAAAGTTCAAAACTAATCTTTGAAAGTGTAGTTGATGCTTGGAATAGAATTCAAGCTGAGGTATAGTCAGTCAACAGTAAGTGTCTTCACACATGCTTGGATGCTTGGGACAAACCTAGATCTATTTTCAAACAAAAAAAGTAGAAAAAGGGCAGACTCAATGAACCACTTTTTTTTTTTTTTTTTTTTTTTTTTTTTTTTTTTTTCTGCTGTGACTTTTCTATGAGTCGTGCTGAATCCTATCGTTGCATATATTAGCCACAAATGGTTTGCAGAATGCAATTTTTTTTTCTTAGTGGTAGTAGATCTTAAAAAGGAACTAAACCTTTCTATCTTTTGCAACCAAGAAAGCTGCCATCTTAACCTCAGTTTACATGTACAGCACTGTGGCAACTGCAGATCAAACCGCTATGATGCAAACCATTTAATGGTTTTGCAGTTCAGTTGAGAGTACAGGTAACTGACGGTTATCATTTGCGGCATGTCTTGAATGTAACTGGTTTTGGAAACTGGTAAAGTAATAGTTGTACATTCCGGTCACACCAACCTGACTGTGAAATCATGCAACTTTACTGGAAGTCGCAAGATTTCAAAGTCTGATGTCATTCCGACTTGAGGTGCAACTTGCAAGACATTTGTGACTTGTAAGTTGCACCTGAAGTAGGGCATGCACTACTTTAGAAATCGGTGCGGCTCCAGCCAAGTCGGAATAACACTGATATAACGGTTTTAATTGCGGACAATACAAGTTGCACCCGGTGTTAGGGGGGAGTGTTGGTTTCACTTTAAAGCGGATCTAAAGGAAACCGTACTCTCCTTTCCTACGGCCCTTCACTGATATCTACTCCTGTGTGCCACTTTTCATCCATCTTCAGGGATCGAGCCTCTGATATTCCGTGTCTTGCTGTGAGGCAGGTATGTAGTTTATTGCAGAAGAGACATTGCTCAGCTCTTCTGGAATATAAAGCCTGCCTGCTCACAGTATGTAATAGTGGTACTTTAGTTCCACTTTAAGTCTGGCTAAAAGGAATGTAAAAAAAAAAAGTAACTTTTTCTCCAGAGCCTTTACAAAAGCATAATAGAAGGGATTTAAGTGATAGAAATTTAAAGTAGTCCTGAAACTTACTAAAGGTATAAAGTAATATGAACTATGGCCTCACAAGGGCATATGCAAGAAACCCAGTACAAAAGGAGCAAGCCCAGTATACAATCCAGAAGTAACAAGGGACAAAAGGTGATTGCTAATAAATCTCAAGGCGATGTTCATTGAAGTCCATATAATAAAATGAATTCCAGCAATGAAATACCTTGTTACAGTGTCAGCAGTCTCTTCTTCAAGCGAGTTCTGGAATTTTCCTGCCAATGGTCATGTAAAAACAGGGAGGGGGAGAGAAAGTGCCACTGTCTAAGCATATCACTATTACTTTTAGACAGTGGCACTCTCCCCCTCCCTGTTTTCTGTTTTTACTTACTAAAGGTATGTTTGCTGTACAGCCTGCCATTGTTTGTCCATGCACTGTAGTGTTAAAGTGCAAGTCCAATCAAAATCTACCCTTCATTTATTTGATAAAAAACATAAACATCCTCATTATGCACTTTATGGAGTGCTAAATATTAATATTCAGCAAACCACCTCAATGTCAGTCTCTGTTCCTTGCTGCTGGCCAGAACTGCCCTGTCCAGTCCCATCCACCCAGTCCAGCTCTTTGCTGCCAGCCATCCCTGCCCTGTTCAGCCCCATCCGCCCCGCTCCTTCACGAGCAATTTCTGACAAGGAACAGAAGTGATGCTCCCATCTCTTAATCTACATGCCCACTGGCTGCCGCTTGTTTCACAAAGCAGAGAGATTGCAGTCACATGACTGAGCATAATTTAACCCAAAAAAGGTAGAAATTCCGATTTTTGTGTTTTGGGGCATATCGATTACATTGCATTACAATATTCATTGCAGTAAATCATTTAAGGCTGTAAGTGTTTACAACCACAAAGCAGTATGTAGCCTTTACAGGAAACCATAGCAGGGAGGACTTTGCCTTATCAACTTATTTTTCATACAATATGCCATTGACAAGTAATACACCTTGTGGCTGTTCTGAAGACCTCCGTTTGTTTAACTCTTTGTAGGAACTAGAAGAGCAGGTCGGTCATGAAGAGGGCATGGGTCAGGCCTTAAAAGAAGAATCTCAGCGCAAAGAAGCTGCTCTGCAACAACTGAAGACTGCAGTGAAAGAGGTAAGCCAACTTGTCTTTAACTTGGCCTAAAGAGTTTCTCATTCCTTGAGGGACACAGGAGTTTAGAAAACTTTTGGGTTATCTTGTCATGTAGAAGTGGATTTGGACACAGGCAAACAAAAAATGGCATTCCTTAGTTTTCTGCTAGTGTCCTAGGAAGATTGAATCTCTTTCTCAACTAGCAAGGTTAGACTTTTGTCAGCATAGCATTTTTTTTTCTACCATTTTTTTTTTTTTTTTCAAGGAAAAAGGATGAGTTGCAAGCTGCCGCCATTACTTCCAAACTTGGAGACCTTAAAAGTTTTAAAGTGATGCAAACTGCATCAATAAAAACTGATGAATATCAGCCTGCTGCTTCTACCAGTGCTGTTTCTTGCCTGGGCTACTTTAGGGTTCCCAAGACTGTAATGACCATTCTAATGCAAGCGTTTCCTGTTGTCTTTATCGAAGACTGTCAGAACCCTGACAAGGTGTACACTCCACCAAGCTGCTATGTAAAAAAGTGGGTTCCCCCACTGTGGCTCTGGCAGTACCCTGTCTTAACAAAGCCTTAAAGGATAAGTTCACCTTTGGAACATGTTACATGTCCCACTCATTTTTAGGTTGGAACATGTAACATGTTCCCATAGCTGCAGCCATGCCTCATACATCCCGTACGGCAAGCAGATATTCTGACAGGTCTACAGAAGACCTGCATGGCATCAGCGATCTATTGATCGCTGGTGCAATGCTTTCCAGGTTCCTTTTGGACAAAAATAATAAATGCACATTTTTTTTTTGCAGGTTAAAAAAATGTGCATTTATTATTTTTGTCTAAAAGGTGAACTTATCCTTTAAACATCCATGTGGAGGATGCACCTGTTTTCAAGAACCGCATAGACTAGAGATTGACTTTTCTTTCTAAAACCTTGTTTTCACTGGCAGGCCCTGGTTCGCAAACTTTAACTTTAACTGAGCTAAAGGCATCAGAAGGGATCTGGTTGCTATTCAAACTTATCCTCTACTGATGTAGTATTAGGAACTCATGCTTGCAGCATTAAACTACGGCTTAGACTGGTTGTTCGAGATCTCCTGTCTCATTTTCCGTATGAGTCTCCTGTCCGTGGCAACAAGCAATAATCCTGCGATCAGCACCCTCCTTGTCTTCCAGTCTGCCCCTGTCATTATTATTACTATTTATGCAGTGCTTTATATACTGTTTAGTTCACATCAGCCCCAGCCCTCAAGTAGCTTACAATTCAAGGTCCCTTTTCTTACTTGCATACATTATATGTGCACACATAACTAGGTCCAAAAATGTTGAAACGTCTGAGGGATAAAACATATGAGAGACTGTAGGAACTTTAAATGTACATGACAGAAACCTTTAAATACATTAAGGGTGTGAACAAGGTTCAGGAGGGCAGTATTTTTAATATGAGCCTAAAATTAAGAACAAAGTCCCATTGTGTTTACAAGTGACAGCTTGTCCCCCAACGGCTCCCACAGATCTAATCTCCTGAACATCTCCCACTGAGTGCAGGATGGGGACAAGGGAGTTGCAGGTGCCAGGGGTGCAGTGGGGATGCCAACACCCCCAATGGATGATCTCCCTGCCAGTGAGGCTGTGTGCTTTAGCTTAACACAGCAACAAATGATACATGGAAGATGGTGGACCTTTTTAAGTAGGGGAGGGGGGGGGGTTGCATGCAGAGGTCGGATGGGGATGTGGAGGTAAGCAGATTTAGGAGAAAGCTGAACTCTGCACTCTGTGTAGCGTGCCCCTAAACTCTGCAATCTGTACATAATGCATTTCTGGTTTAACGCCTTTTTAGGGCCCACCCACTATTAGTGAATTTTGACCACAGCCATTATTTGATGCAGTTTGGGGGTAGGTTGTATGGGGTTCTGGTTGAGTTCCTGCATCTGTTTTCTGAGAGAAAAGCCCTGCTTGGGAAACACCTAGATCTATACTCGGGCAAAAAGGTAAAAAAATACAAATTAAATGGCTGTCACTTTTTAAAATGATTTTATGTACACCAGAGATGGCTAGACTATGTAAAAATAATAAGCAATGAAGAGTAAAACACAGGTTGGAAAAGGTGCGTAATGGGACCCTGTAGATTCTTTCAAGTCTGTTTTGAATGCAGGTTGGCTGGGTAAGTGTGATGTGTACATCAGAAAACATGTATTCTTGTAACTGAACTGAAATGTTAAACAATGTTATTAGCCTTCCCAGTTCTCTTCTGTTAGCTACTTAGCAATTCTCCTTTGTGTACTGTAGAGGGGAAAGTGTAGTAGTCCAAATTAGAAAATAATAGAAAAAATCCTCCTGTGCTGCCACAAACCCTAGAAACACCCGCCCGAGTGGCCGCAGACACCTAACTATATTCCCATCCTGGAGGTGAGCACGCACGCTAGCTGATGGGGGATTTGTGGTTTTTGCAGTGGTCACTGAATGTTTCACGGCCTTTGTTAAAGATACACAGATCCATTGGGACGTACACTTTTATTGTGGTACTTCGCATTTCTGTATTTATATTATTTATGTACCATTGATCACTCCATTTGGTCACGGGTTTATTTGTCCAATGTTGTCACTTTATTTACACTGTGTTTTTATTTTACTTGCATTGAGTGATTTTTTTTTTTTTTGGGTACAATATATTGGGTCACATATTTAACTTAGTATGATTATTTGTTACATGATTTTATTTCACACTGTGCGGGTGTATTTATAATTTTATTGAGTAGCGCAGCATCTGTCTTTATTTGTAGTCCAAATTAGGTAAGCAATTAGGTGACAACACTGCTCCTCCACAGTGAGCTTTAGAAAGCAAAGTGTTACTGGAAGTATCAGCATGTAAAAATAATAGGATAGAAAATCCTGAAAAAAGAAAACAAATGCAGCAATCTCAGTTTACAGTTATAAGCATTTGTTTTGGGGTTTAGATGCATTGTAAAGAGAAACTTCATTCAAAACTAATTCCATGTTGGAAGTAGCAGTGAAAGGTTGATACCCTGCTGTGTTTTTATTGCAGTCTGATATGCTGTCAGGGAAACTATACTGTACATTCCCTATGTTGTTCATTTATTATCGTAGCAGTTGTTACGGGGTAAATATACTTTCTTACTAAATAAACCTGAATATTTCTGGTTTAGTAAGGCAAAGCACAAGAACCCATAGCAACTAATAAGAATTTGTGCTTCTCTGATCTAACTGCAATCCAGCTGCTATGAGTTATTATGGGCACATAGCATGTTACCATTGTTCTTTAAAACTATTTACTCAGTAAGCCCCATGTTTGTTTTCTTCCAGTTGGCAATACAAAACCAGGACCTAATGGAGCGCAATGTAACCCTGCAAGAGCAGCTGCGGATGGCATGTGTAAAGGGACAGCCTACACAGATGGACTCTATTCAACTTCTCAAGCTTTTCAAAGAGATGAATTGCTGTCAAAAGAACCTACGATCTATCTGCACTCTGCTAAGCCAAAGAATGCAGGGCTCAGACCCTAACCTGTCCATGTTACTAGGAGTACACTGTAAGCTTATACTTGTATTAAAATTGTTTGTTAGTATCATGTCAAAGCTGAGTTGTGGTCGAGTAAACATGTTGCCTTTTAAAGGATAAGTTCACCATTTTTAGACCAAATTAATAAATGCACTTTTTTTTTTTTTTTTTTTGGTAAAAAATGCGTATTTATATTTTTGTCTACAGGAGCCTGGAAAGCATTGCACCAGCGATCAGTAGATTGCTGATGCCATGCAGGTCTCCTGCAGATCTGTCAGAATCTCTGCTTGCCATACGGGATGTACAAGCAAGCAGATATTCTGACTGGAAGCTTCAATGAACTACCATTGCGCTCCACAGCGCCGTGGTAGTTCATTGAAAACTACAAGCCCACAGCTGCTAAGGTCGCCAGGACTTGAAGTTCATTCATTCATGGAAGTCCGTAAATTAATGACTTGGCTGTGTGGGTGGAGCTCCACATGGCCATGCTGTTTTCAAATTTGACAGATAGTACGGGGAGACTTCTCCCCGTATTATCTGTCAGAAGGAGGGGGGAGGTGGCTGCATCTGTGGGAACATGTTACATGTTCCACCCTAAAAATGAGGTGTAACATGTTCTCAAAGGTGAACTTATCCTTTAAGATACAGAGGCAGTAGGCTTTGGCTTGGGTATACACGTTTTGGGTTTTTTTTAATTTTGTTTTTTTTTTTTTTTTTTTGTTTCCCTGCCCCAGCGGGATGAACGAAAAGTGTATCATATTGATTCCTCCATCCACACAAGCGAGGTGCATGTAGGAATCCTTCCCACCTTGCCATTCTATTCGGACAGCAGGGCCCCTATACCGTCAGAATACACTAATCAGTGGCTGCAACCGCTGATCAAGTTAAGTTTTTTCCAGTTTGGCCACACAGATTGAAATTCAGCCAGTACCTGCTGCATTTCAATCCACATGTACCTACAGTGGGGCAAAAAAGTATTTAGTCAGCCACCAATTGTGCAAGTTCTCCCACTTAAAAGATGAGGCCTGTAATTGGCATCATAGGTAGACCTCAACTATGAGAGTCAAAATGAGAAAAAAAAATCCAGACACTCACATTGGCTGATATGGAAAGAATTTATTTGCAAATTATGGTGGAAAATAAGTATTTGGTCACCTACAAGCAAGCAAGATTTCTGGCTCTCACAGACCTGTACCTTCTTCTTTAAGAGGCTCCTCTGTCCTGCACTCATTACCTGTATCAATGGCACCTGTTTGAACTTGTTATCAGTATAAAAGACACCTGTCCACAACCTCAAACAGTCACACTCCAAACTCCACTATGGTGAAGACTAAAGAGCTGTCGAAGGATACCAGAAACAAAATTGTAGACCTGCACCAGGCTGGGAAGACTGAATCTGCAATAGGCAAGCTGCTTGGTGTGAACAAATCAACTGTGGGAGCAATAATTAGAAAATGGAAGACATACTAGACCACTTTTCGTGATTTTTGCTCTTTTGGATTATCGGTTCTGCTGGAAAATAATCGGCCAAATTTGTCGTTCTGCCGTTTTTCACGGCAATGATGGACTAATTGGCCGATCTTTTTACCGATTTTAAAAAATGTGCATGAGCAGTGACATGAAAGAAGAAGAAAAGGAAAAAATAGAATATGAATAAGAAGAAAAGGAAGAAATAGAATATGAATATAAAGAAGAAATAGAATATGAAGAAGAAATAGAATATGAATAAGAAGAAAAAAAGAATTTCAGTCCGATATTATATTTTACATTTAAAAGTATAGCAACATTGTATCTATTTGTATCCGAATAGAAACCTCTGTATCCGAAATGGATACAAATAGATACAATGTTGCAACTTTTTCTTATTCAAATTCTCTTTCTTCTTCTTTTAAATGTCAAATATAATAGCAGAGCTCTCCCATGTTTTCAAACTTCTGTACTTGCCCTGTCATGGGCTGCTGTGTGAGGAAGGGGCCCCTAGTGGCCTTGAAACGTCACTGCTTAAAATGTCCTGTCTGTTTTAACATGGTGTGATGGTGATCTTTTGGATTGATCGTAGGACTTCTTCATATGGGTAATTACACGTATTTACCATATTCCAGCAGCAAAAATTTAGTGGACACCTACAGCTGGAATGACAGATGTATGCAAATAGCGGGGGGACTTTACAAAGTAGTAAAAAGTTGACAGCAGCCATTACTGTGTGTATATGCAGACCAAGCGGTTACCTGCATTTAGGGACAGAGGAGCGACCCTGGAAGCAATCAGAATTTTAAAACACTCCCGCCTGCTGTAGCATCTGTTGACCCAACTGTTGACTTTCTGTTAAATTATTTTAGTGCCACCAGGTCCACGTAAAAATTGGGCGATCTGCTATTCTGATGACCAATTGTTTAAAAAAACTAACATATAATAAAACAAAGAAAAGCTCCCCTGCCTCCTTGTAAATGCATGTGTCCGGGTGCATCTGTGTACGAAAGTGACAATTGCGCTACACATAATAGGATGGAATCAGAGCAGTAATTCTTGGGCCACATTAAGATTTGTGTCACACATGTTCAATGTAGATTGAAGCTTAGGTTTCACAGCTAATTGATACAGTAGTTGTTCACAGGTTCAGAACAGGATCAGCTCAGGACTGTATTCTGTTCACACATATGCAACTTAGAAACGGTTCCCATAGAAATCAATAGCCTGTAATCCGCACCTGCACTGCTCAGAAATCTGATATGACTGTTTTCAAAACCGCACTGAATTCGCACTGCCAGTGCACCGGACATTTGTGAACAGGCATCATAGGAAGCTATGTTTTTTCAATGTCATGCGGAGTGGATGTGGTTCAAACTGCATCCAATCCGCATATATGTGAACGGGCACTTAATGCTATACTGATAACCTGTGGAGGCTTTCAAAGCATTGCCTATAGACCATTGTAGGTACTAAAGTTTGTTACTATTTACTTGGATATCTGTTTTAATGATTGTGCTATTCATATCACCACTATCCCAAGTGGACATGCAATGTCTGTATAGCTGCCATACTCAAAAACAGACTTTGTAAAGATTTTTGGAGTAACTACAGATATTTGTATGCTTGAATACACCATGACATTTTGTTAAAGCTAACAATAATTTTTTTTTTTCAATAGCAACAACAGTTGTAGAAGACCAAGAAGAATCATCAGATTTACTGTCTATTGAAAGATATCTGAACGGAATAGACCAGCTTAAAAAGGACATTGAGGATTTACGTACTACAGTAAGTGACCGTTACGCCCAGGACATGGGAGATAACTGTATTACTCAGTGAAAGATGCTTTCAGAACTGGCCTGTATCACGGAGTCGTCTTTGATGCAATAGATAGAACTCCATTTCATGGCATTAAAACCAGGTAACTTAAATCCATTCCCAGGAAAGAAACAAGTTTAAAGGACAAAGCCTACAATGCACACTACTCTGACTTGGTTAAGGAAAGAAATCCGACGTCACTGTTGGACTTGAAATCTATGTCCTTGTATGTAAGACAGTTTGTTGGTTGTTTTTCGTTTTGCTTTTATATAATAAACTATTTCATGCATCTTGTATTTTTTATATTTACGCAGGATAAATGCAACCTGCTTTGGGTTGTCTGTGTGACATGTCCGGTCATTTAGGAAAATGTTGCAATTTCTATCTATGCCACACAAATGCAAGCGTTCATAACTCATTGACATGAATGTTTTTTCATAGAATGAATGCAATATTGCATATGAGAATGAGTTCTGAAATAATGCTGAGAGAGAACCCAAAGTTTTATAGAAGCCTTTGCAGAAACGGAAAATTGTTTTTCTTAGTCATTTTTATGGGTGAATAATTAACATTCTGAAACGCTGACTTGTACTGCCACCTTCAGAAGACTTGGGCAAAAACAGAGCTTTAGGACAGAGTGGTATACCCCTCCCACTCTCAGCTTGTCTCAGATTTTTGTTAGTGTCCTTAGAGAATAGAAAACATTTTTCACATTTTATCAAGACATTATCAAGATTCCTCAGTTGCTGCAGATCCACTGGAGGCTCCTTTTGCAGCTTTTGAACAAGTTGATTTTCACCATGCCCTGGAGGACTGTATCTGGACCCCCACCAAGAAGCAGGGCCAACATGTAATGTTGCCCTTTGTTGGTGTTGCCCACTTCTCAGTTGAACTGCCTTTTGGATGTGTCAGTGTTTCAAAACACTATCCTGTGCCCCATTAGGAAGGAGGGTGGAGTATCTGGCTGCTCGTCTCCAATATTAAATTCCAGAAAAGTACCCCCTTGGGACTTTAATGCAATTGACAAAACATTACCAAAGTATTTACATAAAAATGAATGTTTTATTGTACAAAAATACATTAAAAGATTCATTGCATACTAAAATCATAGTGATAACTCTGATAAGCTGTTCTAATGATATAATTCCTTAAAGGGTTAAAGTAACACAACATTCCCCGAAAGCTCTGACTTGTTTCAGTCATTCCAATTCAAGATCTTCTTTGGGGGCATGAAATGAAAGGGATCTCTAGATAAACACATTAAAAATTAATCATCATAGTACCATCAATAGCAATTCAATTATCTCATTTTTCATACTTACAGAACATCAATTTAACAGCTGATAGATATCAGAGTCCTAAAAACAATGGCGCTCAACACGGAATTGCAAATTCTGGCAGACAATGGTTTGAGCAGTCTGCTGGTACATGTGTGGTCACATGGATATCTCAAGTTATTGCCAGCAAAGGAAGAAAAACAGCCCACCCTCATATCTATCCTTCTTATTCTATGAAATTACTGCATGAAAAAAAAAACAAGTATTAGAATAGAGGGGGCACATTCTGAGTGACAGACAATTCTAAATCTATCTAGAAACAGTATACGGACCATGTGTGGGGTGAAACTGGGAGACCCAGATATTCTTCCATATTGGTAGGGGAAGGGATGGTATAATCTCCAATCAGTCAGATACCCACAATCACTTCATCTAAAATGCAAGCCCATACAGAGCCTTATAAGTTTAATTATGTCCAGAGAAAGAGGTGACTCTATATAGGTACTCATCCATACAATGTATTAATGGATACATACCACTATCTCAGGAAGTGGAAAAAGCACAAGCCCAGAACCCTGGGCGGATGTGTAAAAAAATAAAAAAATAAAAAAATTGCCCCTTTCACGCATTCACCCAAAATGGTGTGAATACACGCAAAAACAAAAAAGGGAAAATAGGTCACTCAGTCCCCCCTTTCTAAACATTAACCTGCCATAATATGTAATAAAATACAGTGCCTTGAAAAAGTATTCATGCCCCTTGAGATTTTGTCATGGTAAAATCCCAATAAAATAAATTTACATTTTTGGTTGTATGTGATAGACCAACACAAAGTGGCACTGTGACGGAGGGTAGGCAGGACAGAACACACAGTGTCAGGAATGGACTCAGCACTGGTGGTGGGACTCACCTGCCGTGTGGGCTGCAGTACCAGAGCTGACCAGCGGGTGCTCTCAGCAGCCAGAAGCTCACACCTGCAATCAGCCAAACCTGGGGCTGATTGCAGAAGGTGTATTTAAGGCATGACCAGGCCTGTGATCTGGGCCTTGGTGTATGTTTTCCCATGAGCCCCTGTACTTGGTATCCTGTGTTCCTGCCTTGTTGCTGACCCTGCTTGATCCTGACCTCTGCTGACCGTCTCCTGTTGAACCCGGCTTGTGACCCTGACCATTCTCTGCCGGATCCTTTGTACTGCGCTGCCCGTGAGTTACTGAACCCTGCTTGTGACCCTGATCATTCTCTGCTTGCTCCTTTGGTACCTCGCTGCCCGCACGTTGCTGGCCTGACCCGTCTGACCACGCTAGCTACTCTGCCATCCATCCATCCTGCACGGATCCAGCCGTCCCTGCTCACACCTTCTGCCTCTTCACATCAGGCTTTCTACCTGCACATACCTCTGGCGGATCCCTCTACCACGAGCAGGGGTACTCAGGGGCCGCGACCTGGTTCCTGTCTGCTCCAAGTCCATCCCCACCATCAGGGGGCCTGGTGAATAAGCAGACTGGGACTTAGACTCCGCGCCCTGAGGAATCCTGTCCTGGGAACCCGCTAGAGGTACCACCGAACGGTCATTACAGAACCCTACGGCCGGCCTGACCATTCCACCTCTCCAGCCCTGACTACGCCTGTGTTCCTGCACGTACTAAGATTAGTGGAAGGTTGGTTTGTTCACTGTGCGTTTTATATATATATATATATATATATATATATATATATATATATATAATGTGGCTAATAATAAACTGTATTATACTATACATGAAACCTGCGTTTCCCTGTGTCAGTCCACACCTTTCTGGTCACTCCTAGATTCCTGACACAGAGCAGATGGCAAACCCACAAAGCTTTATTTAGACAAAAAATGACAGTCACTCAATGGGGGGATTTTCAGGAGGGTGGTCTCGCCACTAGGGGGGGACAGCGAGAAGGGGGCTAAAACTCTTATAGTCCAGCACCAAGGGCAAAGGGAAAGTCTCTGTGGCAGATTGTAATCCAACAAGGGCAAGGGGTTCTCACAGGAACAGTTCAGGTAAAACGGGGAGACATACGCTCATGGATCCGACAGGGTGCCCGGTCTATCAGGGGTAAGGTAATAGGACACAGGTACATGTTGGGGTCCGGAGGAGTCTCGTAGTCCCTCTCCTAGGTTTGGGGATCTCCGGCAGCTGGCGTCGGTCTCTATACTAGGGGTCTCAGGCAGACAATCTCCCTTGGCTTGGGGTCTCAGGCAACAGGCAGGCAATTGCCCTTGGCTTGGGGGTCTCAGGCAGCTGGCAGGCAATCCCCTTAGCTGGGGTCTCAGGTGGCTGGCAGGCAATCCCTTTAGCTGGGGTCTCAGGTGGCTGGCAGGCGATCTCCCTCTAGGCTTGGGGTCTGCAGGCAGGGTGCTGCGGCCTCCCCCTATCCTTGAGGGTCTTAGGCTGGGTGGCTGCGTTCTCCCCCTATCCTTGGGGTCTGCAGGCAGGGTGGCTGCGGTTTCCCCCTATCCTTGGGGTCTGCAGGCAAGGTGGCTGCGGTCTCCCCCTATCCTTGGGGTCTCCGGCTGAGTAGCTGCGGTCTCCCCTTATCCTTGGGGTCTTCAGGCAGAGTTAGCCACGAGGGTCCTGCTGCAGCTGGGGATTCCTTGGTGGCTTGGCAGCAGAAGAGGAGGATCGGGGAGAGCCCGGCTTCGGTCTTTTAAGCCGATGCAGGACACTTCCCGGTCGTCCTGGCAATGGTGGGCGGCGTGCCCCATTGCTTGGCAACGAGGCAAGCCCCTTTGGACATGGGTCACGCTCTCGTGCACGCAGCCTTTGTCCAGAGGCATCCGCAAGTGCGGGAACTCCTCATGCCCGCGCTGCGGATGCTGGGATCGTGCGGAGTCAGCCTGACGCCGTGGTCCAGACTATTTCTGCAGGAGCTTCGCACCTCCAGCCTCGCCGGATGGAGATAAGATAGTGGCAGAGGTGAGAGGAGCCGCGCCTCTCGTCCTGCTTGGCTTCAAAGAGCCGCGGCAGGACGAGAGACAGGGGGTCATCACAGATGCGGGCCAGCGGAGGGGGGAGAGCGCCCACTGTGACACTCCTCCCCCTTCCATTTTACAAGTGCCGGCAAGGGGGGACCCGACCGGGTTCCCTTGAAGGCACTTGTGGGCCCTAGCTTGGCTACTGTGGGTCCTGTTGGCGGGAAAGGCCATCTACATTTTGGTGTTGGCATCCCCGCCTATATCTGATGGTGAAATTGGAGGGCGAGGCTCCACCTAAGGAGGTGCCCATTGTCCCCGCGCACCCTGTTCAGCCATGTGAGGGGGCTGTGGCCGGTGACTATGGTAAACTCCCAGCCAAACAGGTAGGGCTGTAGTTTCTTTAGGGCCCAGACTACGGCCAGACATTCCTTCTCCACTGTAGCATAGGCAACTTCCCGGTCCAGCAGTTTGCGGCTGAGGAAAGCAACGGGGTGTTCCTCTCCAGTCTCGCTGAGTTGGCTGAGGACAGCTCCTAGACCATAGGTGGAGGCGTCTGTCTGCACCAGGAAGTGTCTGTTGTGGTCAGGGGCGGCCAGGATGGGGTTGCTCACCAGGGCGGATTTGAGGTCACGGAAGGCGGACTCACAGGCCGAGGTCTAGTTCACCACCCCCACTCTGTGCTCGAGGTACTGTACCTCAGCCATTCCCAACTGGCATTTATCTGGTCTCACTGTCAGTCCAACCCCGCAGATGTGGGCCAGGTGCTCCTCCCATGTGTTGCTGAAGATGGCCATGTCATC